GTTTTGGTATTCTCGCTTATCAATAAAATTACTTGAAAGTCGTTCCTCTCAATGTCACAAGAAGAACTGAGGAGAAGAATCCAAGAGCTGAACGACGCCCAACATCGAAGTTGGATTGAAAAAGAACGTGAAGAAACTCAGGTGATGCTTAACAAATGCAGGATGCCATGACCTGTTGAAGTTAAACGATATAGGATTGAGAAATGCAAAACGATGTCTATCTGAGACGGCTCATTTCTGCAACAGAGAACCGACGATGTGAAATCAAAAGCAAAATAGAAGGTGCAGATTTTTTGAAAGATTGAAAATGTTCCAATTCGATAAACTAACCCTGTGCTTGAAACAGAAGATTTTTGATGGGTGTTAGCTCGCAGCACAGCACTGATCTACGGATGCAGAATGAGGACCTGAATCTTGAAAGCTACTCATCAACTGCAGACTACGCAAAGCAGGGTGGAAAGATGCATGTTGAGAATAACTAGAAAAGATTGGAAGACGAATGAATGGCTAAGGACACAAACAAGATTCTGCGATGTCATTCAATGAGTGAAAGGGTTAAAGTGGCAAAGGGCGGGACACCTCGCAAGAACAACTAATCATTGTCAAACCAGAAAACATTAGACTGGACTCTACAGGAGCTTAAAAGGGTCCGATAAAGACTCAGATTATTGGTTATTATTATTATTGATTACTATTATTACGATGCAATGAAGAAGTTCGCTGGATGAAGATGGATGAAAATTGCAAAAAATAAAGGACCGTGGCGAATTCCTGGAGAGGTTCCCTTCCTTCAATGGAATGGCAAAATCGGATGACAATGATGTATAGGACATTTGTTCGTTACTCGTGGTATTTGCTTACCAACTCCTTCAGATCCGGAGGGTATGTGCGCACCATATGGCTGTAAGAATGGATCCATAACTGTGAATATGTGTGCATCGTGATATACGCTTTGATGTTGTGCCTATGTTCGTAGAGGAACTTGCTGATCGCCTTGGTCTCCGGCTCGCTGAACTGCGACCTACCGGCGTACGTCTCGTGGCAAGGAAATTTGCTGGAGCCGTATTCTGAAGCGATTGTCACTGTTTAATAGCCTTCATCACAATTGCAAGACATAACCTCTTACCTCCCCAGAAGAAGTTGAAATTCCGGTTGAGGTCAACCTGCAGAAAAAACACTTTTATAAAAACTTCGTGCTCATCGATTAGAATCTTCGCTGTAGCTCACCCCTCGGCAGCAAAATCTGGTATTCATGAAACATTCAACGGGTGAACGATTCTTTCGCCACAGACGCACCTAAACAAAATTTATTTCAGTAATATACTCTCCATAATGGAAGTTGCAACTTATTTTAATGTCATTCAAATCAGAACGAAAGCAATGTATTTGTCCCACCGCTGAGGATAATTTCTGAACGCTGTGAGGGAAAAGTCTTTAAGATTAGTCTTGAATAACCACTCGTGGGAATTTTCCTATTTCATGACCACCTGATCGTTTGTTCATACTCTAGACAAGTAACGACAACGAAACTTTAGACTTACTTATACTGAAATGGATTGCCCTCACGGGTTGCAGTGTCTGCAAATACTGCTCACAGGTTTGAACGCGATCGTCGACGCACTGATGAAGCATTGTAAGAAGGATTGGTGAGGATGGTTAGCACTGCTCAGTTCTTGCTTGTATATTCCGGTGCGAAATGCCATTTTTGCAAGGATCCTTTCCAAAGGCAACATTGTTAAAACGCCTCTTGTTGGCCAACAATATTAGACGGTATGATTTGAAAGAAAAATAAAAGGCAGCAGAACAAGAACTGCCGATGATGAAGAAGGTAAAGTATGGGAAGAAAAAGAGTGGCCAAGAGATGAACAGTAAGAGTAAGGACAAGCTTATGAAAAAAGTTTAAGGAAATCTTACTCTGATTCAACCAACAGACAGGTCATGACGAAATGCGGCCCTAGGGCACAAAATTCTGGTAAAATTGCCGTCAAGTCATTGACGAAACCATACCGCAGCCACACGTCTCCAGCTGTTCTCGGATCAGCGGCTAATTAGCTATTTCTAGGGTGGTTACTACGAAGAAAGCTGAGTGAATTTCTGGCTAACGGGAGTCATCAGCGAAGAGAAAAATTTTACGCCCCGCTAGGATTCACACCTACGCCACTGCAAGCCAAAGCAGAACTGTTATTCACCGTGGCTCTGCTCTCCAATGAACTTTGAAATTAAAGTAAATTCTCCATGGAAAGAACTGAATCAAATAATACTAATGAAGGAGAAGAAGGAACATGCAAGAGAGAAAAAGCAAAAAAAAGGAAGACGAAGAAGGAACAGAAATAAAAAAGAAAAGGAGAGAGCAAGAATGAGACGGGAAAGAAGTTTTCAGTCCAGCTCAAGTATAAGACTAAATAAGACTCTAACTCTGGAATTTCTCAAAGAGAGCACTGAAGACAAAGGATTGAATTAGAAGAGCAGGAAGCTATCATTGACATTTAAAAATGCATGAGGCAATAAGTGCACATTTATTCAAACAGAAAACTGACCAAAGGTAAATTTGCAGGAGAAGACGATGAGAGGAAAAGCATAGAATAAAAAAACGCGAAAAATATGATTTTGGTGTTTTCTTCGAAATCTGCGGTGAGACAAGTTTAAAGAATGGAAGTGAAAATGAAGGCAATTGAGTAACTCTATTTGACGACTCCTTCACTTCCTGTACGTGAGAGGCCGTTTGTTTCCATGAACAATGGGGCTGACAACAAAGCAAGTGCTGGACATCGCTCCTCGCCAAAGTCCGCATTTCAGCACTGTCAGTATAATAGAAATAACGACCAGGAAGAAACGGTCATAAACCTGAGAGGGGCCTGGCCCAGTGGCGCACGACCAGGAAGGAACTGGCTGCTCCCAGAAACTAGAGAACTACTTGAAATTCATTGGCTCCATGCAGAGGACGAACGACACAGAACCCCGTTGCTCTTGTACAATATAGTTTAATGTTAAGAGTTGTTCCAGTACTAAAAACTAAACGATACGGGATCAGGGGTGAGCATTATGTGCAAAATTAAAGAAAACAAGAAACAACAAGAAGAAAATAGACAGGAAAACAAGAAGTTATTGCTCTCATAATCCATTCCTGACTTTAGGCAGGGTTGAGGTGTAAAACAGCCCAGGCGAATATGTTGTGCTCTAGCAGAAATATGAGTGACGATGGAAAATTTTGTTTTGAAATTTTTACGTACGATGGATTCCCATGGAGGTGAGGTGAGACCAAGTTTCAGCCGGAGTATTCAGCCTTAATCGACCAAGTAATGAAAATAATTGAAATTCCTTTGCTTTTATAGGCAAATGAATACCCCGACCGAAACCTAGGGCCATCTAAACGGGAATTTGTTGTGTGTAAATGTTTCAAATGAAAGTTTGCATGTTCAACTATTTCAAAACGTCAAGTTTCCTTGAATTTTTAGAAATATCGTGTCTACATCATATGGACGCAACGTTTGTTTCCTCATATTCAAAAGAGTGATCGACGCATTTGCAGCGCTGTACACGATATAAAGGCTTTGGGCCACTGTCCACTCTCTTTTTTGACAGCTTTACAAGATCTTTACAGTTAATGATCCTATGATACCTTTATGGGCTTCCCCTGGCCCTGAACTTTAAATTAAATCAAATAATTTTTTAATTTACAGTTTAAACTTCGTACTGATTTATAATCAACTTTCGGGTTGGTTAAAAAGATTACGACGATAGGGTGTACGAACCAGACAACATGGTAAAATATGTCGCAGGAGTACACATGGACGGCACGCCCCCTCCCCCCACATTAATCACAGATAAACGACTTGCAATCCGTTTCTCAACCGATTGCAACGAAGCAGATGGTAATGAATTCACTACTCAAGGGCATTAAGAAGTAATTAGAGAAATTGTACGACACGCTGCCATTCGAATTTCGCAACCGCATTGTGCGAAGCAAATTACTTATCTACTGCACCATTGCCCCTCTCCCTCCTCCCCCTCCTCAGCGGATCAGCATTTGCAATGCCCATTGGGTCCTCATGGCACATAAGATTCAGTTTTCATAAAATACATAATTCGTTGGTCCAAAACATATTTTAGAGGTACGAGGCGAATCTGGATTAGCGCGTTCATTCATCGCGAATGCTGAACATTAAAGCCAAATGTTTTTCAAAATGCATGAGGCACTTACCTCTGGCCTGGTGCTGTTCCGCGTATATTCGTAGCCGTCAGGGTTAACCGCAGGCACAATGTACCAGGTGAGGTTGTTGATATACTTCCGTAGTTCCGGCCGAGTATCCAAACTTGACACCAGCTATATTAAAAATGGAATTTCAGCGTCATAACCAGCCAGCTACGCCTGGAGTGATTTCCTCACCTTGTAGATGAAGTAGACAGCCGTCGAGTGTGACGCCCATTCTCTGGCGTGCATGCCGGCGTCGATGAATACCGCTTTCTTGTCCGTCTTGTCAATCGGGTATCCTATCTAAATCGTGCACGGTGAGGGGAAGACTCAAAGCAGAGGGCTACAAGAGGACGCAGACGTCCGACCCCCATGTACCTGCAGCATTTCTATTGGCCGGTTTTCATGAGAATAGCCAAGCTTGTGTACCCTGGCGATGTTCGGATAGTACGCGGCTACATTGTGCATGTATCTTCTAATCTTCAACCGAAATCAGCATATCAGGTAACCGACTTTAACTTAAAATGGTATAAAGAAAGCGATATCATCTCGAACCAGTAAGTGAAACATGGTCGCAGAACAGTATGGCTAAAGTTCAAATATGTATCACCGAGTGAGCCATGGAAGGAAGGATGTATGAGATCTCGTTCTGCGACAACACCCTCAGTGCCGTAGTCAGAAAGGGGACGATAGTGAAGGAGGTGGTAGTGGAAAGCACACACAGCACGTTCATAACTTCGCTGACAACCGATCAGGGGCCATGGCTATGCAGTGGTCATCGACTTGTAAAAGACCTTCGGTCAATTTGTAACAGACAATTGGATAATTTTATTTCTAGCCTACAAGGACTGCTGTGATTTTAAAAGTTAAGAAAGAGACATAATGAAAGGAAGCATCGTCACCGGTGCAATTCATCTGACTGTAGAATGTTTTGCTTTCTAAACCTTTGTGGATATTGTCTGAAAGAATACCAGCTCTTTCTGTTGATTGTGTACCAACAGCCGCTGAATCAGAATACCATGAAGTATATCTTCCTCCCTCGTCGATTTGTTTTGCAAGGTTTGTCAGTCCAACGCGTTGACAAGTTTGAAGCTTCAAGTCATCACCTGTACGGCAGGACTCCACGAAAGCGCGGTAACGAAGACAACAGACTGCCGCTTGTGCAGTAGCATACGTTTGTATATTGTTGTCGTTGTCTGTCATACAGAAAATGGAGTCGAGGTCGGATTGGGAGAACACTCAGTGGTTTAAGTTCAGAGCCATGCACCACTTCGCCATCACCGGAATACACGGTTCTTTAACGGCGGTACTGATCATTTTCGAAATGACAAAAACCCTTTTTGCGTATATTACAGTATCCGTCCACGCGGATACTGAGAATTTTCCATCATTAATGATAGACGGTGTCTTGCGGGGTCATTTAGTTTCTTGGATATCGTGAATGATGTGACCAAATGCTGTAGCCACAGGTTTACCCACCGTTCTACAGGTGCATCAAGAAAGGATGCTAATTTCAGTTAGCGCAAATAAGTTAGTAGTAATTAGATTTGGTTACCCAGGCCGGTCTAAGTTACTTAATGGCGATCCATGCATATCTCGTTGTAGGTCGATTAGCATTTTTCACTATATACTTAGAAAGGGATATTAATACACTCTATCCATAATAATGTTATCAATTTTTAAGTCAACTATTTCTTTCAGGTTGCGGGCATTCGCCTGGGTTTTTTTTCTATAGGTGCTCGATGGACCAAAATTCACGGGACGGGCTGAACTCCAAGGTTCAACAGAGCTGGACGAGGTAATATGCCTGAACCATTTAGCCCTTTGATACCCTGACCAAACATGTGACCCATCGAAATAGGGAACCCTTGGTCTTGAGAATGAGCGATATTTTGGATTGTCCAGCACCACCAAACAAACAATTCATTGAAGGAAACTTGCTAATGTTGCTGCTGGTATCCGGAATCTTACTCATTTCGTCAATATCAAACATTTATGAACTTCCTTTGATGAGGAAACGGCTTCATACCACAACTGTGGCAATACATTAAAATGCCAAATTGAATTACCAAATACCTTGACCTTACATTAGAAGTATCAGAACGGCACGTGGCAACGGACAGCACAAAATTTGCTTTGATCAGAAGAACCAAAAGCTTATTACATACCTCGTCGTAACTGTGATAGCGGTTGAAGTTGAAAAACGGTTTGCGACGTCTGACGTGGTCGAATCGGAGGCTGTCCTGCCATCTTCGGTTGAAAGAACCTTCTGTTTTCTCAATTAACCTAAATTAATTTTCTCAATTTTTCAAATAACCTGTGGTTTCTTAAAGTACAGCAAGACCGTTTCGAGAAAACTATTCATAACTTATCACAGCTATATACATAACTATATATAACGATATTGATAGTTGATCCCAGCGTTGTTTCAATAATCGTTGTAACCTAACAAAGTAGATGACGTGATGGGCGAACGTAGGTCAAATACAGAGGCCGATCATAACCATGCACTGCACACGAAGTTGATTAGAGCGTTTAAGTTCATTGGCGCCGTTGACGACAATTCAGCTAGTGCAGTACTCATGTAGCTAGTCTTTCAAACAGCAGAGGCAGTTATTCGTAAGTTCTTTATTCAACACATCACTGAGAAAGGGGTGGGGGGTATTTTTTTCTGCTAATTTTACCTTTATTATTTTGACTATTATTAACCTATGTGGAGTTTTGATTGGCGATGAGATTATGCAGTACTGTCAGTCACTGCGTTATTCGAAGATAGACGGAATACCTTGTTCAAAGGTCGGTATTCATACAGAAGAAAACCCCAAAACGGTTTATTAATGCAATGAACCTTCTCTGTTAATAATGCTAATAAAACTTCAACAAATCTATCTAATCCAGTGTACAACCGTCACGGGACCAAAAATCTGTCTGACCTATAGGTTTGAATTTTAGAGCTTCTAACAAGACCCTCGCTCAATTTATAGAAGTTCATAACCACTTAAAATAAATAACAACTTAAAGTAGGGTAATTATTAAAAACATTAAACTTCCCATATCCCTATTGCAACCATTTCAACTTTACTAAAATCTTACAGAATTTAAAGCCATTAAATCTACCACTGCAAGAAATTGGACCAGACTTCGGTTGAACTTGCCTTCAGTCAAGTGACTCGAGTCGAAACGTTGCTTCACATCGTGAAATCTGTAAATTTTACTCTGTGTGTAAATACAACATTTTTATCTATCGATATGATTGGCACAGCCGTAAATTTTTTTTAAATATCTACGAAGATTGTTCATACACCCAGGACCCTCTTGATTCATTTGTATTGATCTTCGAACCCAACTGAAATATACGCAGCTTAATTTTGGTTCACAGAGCTAATTTATTGGCAGCCATCAGTGGGAACAAGGTGAATTGCGCCTTGAAAAACATTCCTAAGACACCATGGTCATAAGTTTTGCACTCACTGACAGGAAAGATTAAAGGAAAACACGTTCCACCATCGTTGACTAACAACAACAATAGGAGTTACACCTTTTGCTGATTATCACATTTAATAAGCAGGCATTATGGGGGGGGGG